GAAAATGGTGCTTTTGTATCGCCATACAATTTGTCCATATATTCATGAACAGTTGTATTTGTAGTGTAAAAGCTAGCTCTTCTTCTTGCAGTCCTTCATATTGTATCGCAGAATATGGGGATTTATTTCAACTTAGTCACTTAAAAATGGCTCATATTTAACTAAAAATTATAGCTTTAGGCTTTGTTTGGGATGGCTAGCTTTCTTTATGTTTTTAAAAGAATTTTTTAGTATAAAAATTTATTTTAAGAAGTAATAAGAAAGCTGTCCCAAACAAAACCTTAATCATACCAATTTTATTTGGCTGTTTGTTTTTGCATCGACCACTTCTCTTAGATTTTTATTTTTATTTAATTTGATGACCCTTAAAACATGGATCTTCAAGTGTGGTTGTCAAAGATTACTAATTTGATGGTCATTGATCTAGCACACATATTATTGAATATCATTAAGATTTGTACTAATCATCCAATCAAAGTTCATTAAATACATCTAATCAGTGCAGATATTGAAGTTTCAAATATATTTTGCAAATCAATTCAAATCACCATCTACACAAACCTGAAGATCAATAAAGTTACAAGTTAGTTAATAAACTCTAAGAAAGCAGGATTAGGGTACACAAACATAATCCAACGTCAGAATATAAATCACATCAACAAAATAAAGAGCAAGATCATGGAACAATAGCTTTGCTGATTGATTATATCCAAAGGAAGAAGCATGACTGAATAATCTACAATTATAGCAATAACTGGCTAGGTCCTCAAAGAGAAATATCTACCATTAAGGTTTTACTAAAGATAGAAGAAAAAGCAAAAAACTTCAAGATTGAAGAATTAAACCTGGAGTTTATCAAGGAGATCCACACATTAATGAATGGATATTCAAATTTAGAATCAAATTAATATAGTTAAAATTTGAAGATGAGATAACTTCAATGAGATAGGCAGCAACGGTACATTACTGATTTTCAACTTGATCCGATGAATTCCAATTTAAATTTTCTTTATAAGCAAGCTTGTGACAACATTAACATTTTAAATCACTTCTCTTAGATTTTTATTTTATTTTTTAATTTGATGACCCTTAAAACATAGATCTTCAAGTGTGGTTGTCAAAGATTACTAATTTGATGGTCAGTGATCTAGCACACATATTATTGAATATCATTAAAACATAGATCTTCACGCATTGTTTTTTACATATGAATATTTTATTGATTAAAATTGAATGGCTCCCGCTTCCACTCTGTTAGGGCTTTTGCTCTAGCGCTCTCCGGTCTGTTCCTGTGGCTGGGGCTACTCGTCGTGGTGGCGCCGTCTTCCTCATTCCTCCAGGGAAGTTCCTCTTTCTATGATTTTGTTATTTTGGGTTTATGTTTTTTTCGGTTCTGTCCGGCAGTTGCCGGCATGCCGCCAAAGTTATGTGACCCTCGTTTTTTAGGGGTTTCTTCATCTCCTCATTCGTTTTTGGATGTCTTTGCGGGTAAGCAAGATGAACCCATTTTTTCAGAGCTTAGGGTTTCTTCTTTCCGTGGTATTCTTTCTCTTTGTATTTCGGAACAAGAATATTCTGCACTTGCCGCGCCTTTCCAGTTCTCTCTTGTCGAATTTTTCCCTTCTAAGCGTCCTTCTTTGGATTATATTCGACGATGTTTCTTTAATCTAAAGTTGAATGGTGAATTTTCTGTTAGGTTCCTGGACCCGTCTCATATCCTCATTAAGCTCAAAAACGATCTTGATTATTATCAGGTCTTTTGCCATGTATCTTACTTAGTTTATAACTGCTTTATGAAACTTACCAAATGGTCGCCCTGTGTGGATATTGGGGGTGGAGTCGCCGGTTGTACATATTTGGGTGTCTTTTCCTCTGCCGCGCCCCCATCTCTTCTGTCCTCGCATACTTCATGGCTTGGGTTTGATCTTTGGAAAGCCCCAAAAAAATTGATACTGCTACCTCTATTGGGTCTAGGCCATCTCTTGCTCGTGTGTTGGTGGAATTAGATGTTACTAAAACCTATCCCAATCGTGTTTGGTTAGGCCCTCAATCTTCTAAGTATGTTCAGCATGTTGTTTTGGAGGATTTCTCTCCTTTTTGTTCTTCGTGTAAAAAATTTGGGCATTTTTTAGGTAATTTCCATCCTGGGATTGACTTACATATGCCGACTAAGGTTGCTAATAAGGATTCTATTGAGTCTGATCTGATTGTCCCTTCTTCTATTGTTGAGGCTGAGCAAGTTCTTTCTGTTGAACCCACTCTTTCGCCTACATTTGGGTGTGAAGCATGTGGTTCAGTTGATTAATGTGGCTCCCCCTCCATCTAATCTAGCTGTTGAGAATGTGGAAATTGATGTGGAAAATAATGTGAACCTTTCAAGTGGTAAGGATGATGGTGTTGATGGTGATGGTGTTTCTGTTTTTGTCCCCTGATGTTTTGCCCTTTGTCCCTCCAGGTTGTATTTCGGGTACTCTAGATCCCTTTGTGGCCTCCCTTAGAACTTGTCTTAGTGCTGATGATCATGGTGGTGCTGGTCGCTTGTTGTCAGTGGTGTCTGCCCCGACCATTTTGGGTGAAATTTCATTAAATCATGTTGTTTTGGATTGCCCCCCATGAGGTTGGTATTCCTTTTGATAATTTGGGTGCGGGTGTTTGTGAGGTATCTGCTACCTCCAGCTCGCCTCCGGTCATGAACGACTATTTAGTTAACAACAACTTTGTGGATGTACCTGTTACTTTAATTGATCCTCAAAGTCTAGTGTATCATGTGGGGGACAATTCAGGATTGGATGTTAGTGTGCAACTGGATTGGCTCCAAGGCTCGTCTAATTCTGATTTAGATTTTGTATCTTTGGAATCGTCTGGGGATGAGGATCCTGGCAATTCTTTTCCCTTATTGCAAGATAAACCTCTTGTATCCTTTGCCTCTCCTGGTAGGGCTCGTGGGAGGGGCAGACGTGGTCGGTGATGATGTACTTGGTTTTCTTTTTTGGTTGGCCTTTTGGTTGGTTGGCCATGGTATCTGTTCTCTGGGCTGGTTGGATGATCCTTTTGGTGATGGTGTGTGCACTCGTATTGGCACTTTCAGTGGGCTTAATTGTTTTGGAGATCTCAGTTTTACTTTTTTGTTTTTTGTTGCCAGGCCGGGCAATGATGTGGCTGGGGCTCGCTTCTCTGTCAGCATGACTCGTGGCAACCTTGGTGTTGATTTCCTTAGGATAGCTGCTTCGCATTTTGTTCCACCAATTGGACGGTCCGAGCTTGTCTCATGGGAAGCTGGTAGTCTTGGCCTTCTACTGAGCCCTCGGGGTTGTTTTTTTCCACTTGTTTTTTGCATTTGCTTCTTGGATCTTGTAATCGCTCTTTTTTATTGAATAAATTGTTATGTTTTGTTTAAAAAAAATATTATTGAATATCATTAAGATTTGTGCTAATCATCCAATCAAAGTTCATTAAATACATCTAATCAGTGCAGATATTGAAGTTTCAAAATATATTTTGCAAATCAATTCAAATCACCATCTACACAATCCTGAAGATCAATAAAGTTACAGGTTAGTTAATAAACTCTAAGAAAGCAGGATTAGGGTACACATAAACATAATCCAACGTCAGAATATAAATCACATCAAAAAAATAATTAAAGAGCAAGATCAGATCAGTAATCAACTTCATGGAACAATAGCTTTGCTGAGTGATTATAGCCAAAGGAAGAAGCATGACTGAATAATCTGCAATTAGAGCAATAACTGGCTAGGTCCTCAAAGAGAAATATCTACCGACTACCATTAAGGTTTTACTAAAGATAGAAGAAAAAGCAAAAAGAACTTCAATTCAAGATTGAAGAATTAAACATGGAGTTTATCAAGGAGATCCACACAGGAATGAATGGATATTCAAATTTAGAATCAAATTAATATAGTTAAAATTTGAAGATGAGATAATTTCTATGAGAGAAAAATCATAATATCATCACTAAAATTAAAAAAATAAAACTATAATAAGAGCACATTGCTTCAAATAAACAACTTCAAAATAAATTTTAATTATTTAATTTTTAAATTCGCTAGCCAATTAACTTAATCTAATTTCAAATAATTTGTGAAAAATATGAATAAATAATTCTCACAATTTTCGAAAAACATAGTACTGGTTGATGATATCAAGATCAAAATTAAAATAATATTTGTCATGATGATTTAAAATTTTTAAAATAATTTAATTTAAAATGAGTGTAATATATTAATTAGTTAATTAATTTTTATCTTGCACTAATCTCAAAGTAGATTTCCCCCCATATTTTTTATGCCATTAACAATCAATTAGAAGCCAAGCAATTATTATTGCTATTTGAAAAAAAATAAAATTTGAGATGATCTCGTATTTTCTTATAAGCCACATAATTCAGCTCAGGATCTCCAGATCGAAATTTTATTCCCCTTATAACCAGCTGATTCCTCCCTGTATGTCTCTTTCCCAGTGGTTCAATATCTTTATCTTTCCCAATCAGAAATGCTGTGGAACCTTTCACACACACAGACCTCTCTCTCTCTCTCTCTCTCTCTCTCTCTCTCTCTCTCTCTCTCTCCTTCCGCAGGCATAAATTGAATTGGGCTGTTCTGCAGTTAAGCCCTATAGAATAATCACCCCTCTCTCTCTCTACCCATCCCTAGTTTCCGCTATCTGCAGACTATTTTATCCTTCTGTCTCCCCACATAAGAATAATTTGAATTTCATGTTGGCTCTTCAAACTCAACACCAGCCTGATACCCACCACCTCTCTCTCTCTCTCTCCTTTAGGTGTTCCACTTCTTGACAGAGTTAGATCCTTTCTCTCTCTTTCTCTATCTGTCTTCTTTTCCCCATGCTTGAATGTCCGCCTAACTGATATTCTATTTTTATTTCCTAACTCTTGTTCATCTTTCAGTGCCTTATATTTCTTCTTCTTTCCATAAGCCAATCTCTCTCTCTCTCTCTCTCTCTCTCTCTCTCTCTCTCTCTCCCAGCTCACTATCTCTCCGATAAAAATTCCAAAACTTCAATCTTTTCAGTCTTCCCAGCTCCTAAACCACCCATCCATTTCCATGTCCTAAGCCGCATAATGGACAAAGAACCCACGTCAGTAACAGAACTCACCACCCGCCGCTCCAACTTCCCTCTGCAACTCCTCCAAAAAAAAGAATCAGAAGACCTCTCAATCTCCTCCTCTTCCTCCTCCTCCTCCCTCCACCCCCTCTCCCTCCCCACCGACCCCCCCAAAAAACCAGCACCAAAGCGCAACTCAACTAAAGACCGCCACACCAAAGTCGACGGCCGAGGTCGCCGCATCCGCATGCCAGCTCTCTGCGCCGCCCGCGTCTTCCAACTCACCCGCGAACTCGGCCACAAATCCGACGGCGAGACCATCGAATGGCTCCTCCAACAAGCCGAACCCGCGGTCATCGCCGCCACGGGCACCGGCACCATCCCCGCCAACTTCACTTCCCTCAACATCTCCCTTCGTAGCTCCGGCTCATCCATCTCCGCTGGCCCGTCACACCGCCTCCTCCACTCCTCCGCCGCTCCGCCCCCCGTTCGCCTCCGCTCCGATTGGGGGTGGGAACACGAGCTCATGGCAGGGTATACAACTGCCCCGGCAGCACATTTCTTTCCCGCTGGCGAGCCAGTTTGGCCGTCGTACGCGACGGCGACCATGTTTCGAGAGTTCATGAACTTTCCCAGCGCGGCTCCCATGACTTTACTGCAAGGTCAACCGCAGCTCAGTGGCGGCGGCGGCGGTAGCGGCGGCGGTGAAGGGCATTTGGGTATTATGGCCGCGCTTAACTCGTATAGAGCGGTGGAAGCAGGAAGTCAAGAAGAGCCAGAGAGAAATCATCATAGAATGACTTCAAACGATTCTTAGCTAAGTTCGCCGCTTCACAATTAATTCAGTAGTTCTATCGATCTATTTGCTTCGCTGTTGTTTCCTTTTTTTAATTTTTTGGCTATTACTATTTTGTTGTTTGCATCAACGATCTGTGGAAACAATTCTTTGCTCTTTAATTTCTCTAAGATTTTTAGGATTTCAAAATTACTGAATGATAGTTTATATATTGTGCTATCTTATTGCCTTTGGTCTAAGTTCTAACTTTACATAATTTTATTTTATTTTTTCAGTGAATTTTGTAGTTCAGAGCTGTTCTTGAATTTCAGTTCTTCTATTTTGAAATAAAAAATTTGGAGGCTGAGGTAACAGTTTATTTGCTTAGGGATCGGAGAAACTATCTCCATGGTTATACGTACTGAAATTATATTAGATATTAACACAAAGCAAAATTAAGCCTTTTGTTTGCGACAGCTTTTTTTGTGCTTAATTTTTTAGTTCAAAAATCAAAACATTTGAAAAAGTAAAAAAACTGACCCGAACGAAGCCTAAATCTTTTGAGTATGGCAACCAATGCTTAGCTTAATCCAATCTATTAATGATGATTAGATGGAGGTTTTACATCAAATTATATATATTGCCTAACAATTTGGATTTTATTAAATTTTTAATAATTTATGCACGTGAAAAGTTAATACTTAATATTCAGTAATAAATAGAATTCAGATACTATATACGTAAATATCTCAAGATTTTTAAAACATGCTAAACCCTAAATTAATCTATCCAAAACTGGATAAGTACGGCTTTTTCTATCTATAATTGATTAGCTAAGGTTTTTTTGCAGAAGCAAAGCTTTGAATTTTGATGTATTAAGAATAGTAAAAGTAATTAGTGTGATCAGACTTTTGAGTTCTACATTGGCATAAAAACTGATTAGCATAAAAGAGTAATTAATTTATACAATCATGGAGTTAAATGCAATAACCATGACTCCATGAGCATCCAAATAGCCGCTATCAAAAAGGTTTTTTCACAGTAGATATTTGTAGTTGTTTGTTTTTTGCATCGATTTAGGCAGTTACTATTTGTTGTGGTTTTAACCGGTGCAAGTAGCACTGATTTTGATCGCTACCAAAATTCTTTACATTCTATACGCCTCATGACGCTTTTGGCTTGCCCTAATTCTTACGTGCATTCGCTGCCTTGGATCTGAGAGTTTCACGGCTTGCCTAATTCTTCCTCTTCTTCGTTTCGTGCATCAATTCGTTGCTTTGGATCGGAGAAACCACTGCAAAAAAATTAGTGGCGGTTAAAACCGCCGGGATAACTCAAAAAAAGTGTTGTGATAGCCGTATTTGATGGTAGTGAGCTAGCTTCTCAATGTAGAAAGAGCTAATTACTTTGTTAAGAACATGTTGTACTAAAGTTTTATGTTATACTGATAATATTTTTCTAATGGACTGAGTAGAAAACAAGGGCTGTCTCTTGTTTACTTCCTATATATATATTTCATCTGTCACATGTGAACGTGTATGGTTTCCTTAAGCTACTGCAGCTATCTGTTTGCAAGGGATAGTTTTCTCTCTCCTACATTGTGGACAAACCAAGCGCTTGGGTGCTTATGAAGCTCACTGGCCTCTCTTTTGCTTTCAGATGGACATGAGATCCCTTGAAGAGATCTTGTGTGTAAGGAACTGATAGACAGATAGCTTTGGCACACCTCAAATTATTTAAAGCTGTCTTCCTTTATGATCTGTAAGAGGGCAGCCAGTGCTTTGTGGGATGGGTTGATAATGAAAGGTTATGATACATATTATATTTTTTTTATGAAATTTTAGGATACTTATAGTTCATATGAAAAATAAATATATTATTAAGTTAAAATAAGATTGGCAAGAACATAACTTTATGATGAAATGAAAAAAGATTTTTTTTTTTCTTTGAATTTTAAGAAAATAAAGCGAGGAAAGGATAAAATAGTTAAAATATTTATTCTTTAATGAAAAAAAAAGCAACTGGGCTCTTCCTATGGGGAAATTGTTCGGTGTGAAGTCCGGACGGGAAGTTCTCGTCCGAACTGTGAGTGTACAAACGTAATGGTTACACAATTTGAACCAAATTGTGTAGAAAAATTATGCTCACTATATACAGTGTGTAATCACAGTCCGGATGGGAAGTTCCTGTTCGGACTCCACACGGAATAATTTCTAGCTCCTTCCTATGTGAGCCTTCGTATGCCACCAAAACTTTATGTTTTTAAAATATGATCTAATATGAGTGAGATGCATTGTTCTAATACAATACAGCTATTATTATTTTTTAGTGATGCTTCACTCCCTCAAGAAAATCCACACATAAAATTCTTTTATGTTATTTTTTTCTGTTCAAAATTTATGTGACCTAAGCAACAATAGTGGGCCGCATATCCACATCAATAATCAATTTATGGCACAAAAAAAATAAAAGTGAATTTATTTTGGAAGTAAAGAAATATTGATCATTTTCTTACTAGCAATTCCTTAACCCCCCAACAATTTAACATCAAATCAACGCATAAAAACAAGAAAAATAATGCAGCACAAGAATAATATAATTCTCATGGTTGATTTGATTGAAATTTTTTTATGAGTAAGAATTACTCTTTCCATTTTCCCCCAAAAAAAGAATTACTCTTTCTTATATATATTGACTAAGCTGACAAAGAAGTGAAAGATAAGACTGTTTTCTTGTTAGGAAATATAAGTTGGTTGGAGGGACTTTGTTAACATAAATTATTATTATTTTCTTCAATTTCCTCACTAAAAGATAGGTCTTATTCCTATCCGAATCATATCCATAAGGGGATGATAGAGAAGCATCCTTCTTGCCTAAGCAAAATTCCTTCAAGGTTTAGCTGGTTTAATCTCAAAGTTTTTTTTTTTGTTTTTGTTCAAAGGGCATTTTCTTTCTTCACAAGACACTCTATAATAAGAGAAATTATTTTGTGCGGACACCAGATCTTTCAGAATAAGCAACGTCATTCGGTACACAGCCTCAGAACACAACAAACAGGTGACATGGCGCGTTCTGATTCGCCTTTGGACGGCGTTCGTATCTGCACAATAATTTCCCCCATGACAGAGCTATTTTGATTTATAGTTGTCATTGGAGCTCAGAAAAAGGGAACTGCAAGCAAGAGGACATTAATATTTACTACGCATGCATTGTTACAGATATTGTTTATCACTGATCATAGTACAGAAAAACGATATATTATAAAAAAATAAGTTTCATATATCATTTAACATATATTGTTTACTATTTTTCATACATTGCCGGAGTTCTAAAATTTCTCCAGTATAGATGCAATAAACGAAATTTGTTCCTCTACTTTTCCTTGATAGAAACTTATTCAAAAGTGCTTTTTGTTGGCAGCTTTGTGAGGAATGAACTGTCAGCTTTGTCTGCTACAATAAAATAACTTAAAAAGTTTAAATTTTAAGGATATCTTTAAAGAATCATTGTATGAAAACAATGAGATCTATTATTCTATGAATTATTGTTATAAAATGCCATTTTCAATTATCAGAGCTGCTTATGTTTGGTAATGAGTTGTTTTCTGCTACTGGGAATGTCAGGTCTTAACATCTTGCATTTCTTGTTATTTAAATTCTTGCCAACCATCAACTTTAATCATATTCTCTTTAGAAAGAAGTATATTAAGCATATAAAAAAATTTGTTTGTGAATATTTTCAGAGATGATAACAGGAGATCGAGCTTTATATGTAATAATGTAAATATCCACCTTATATGAAATAACATAGTAAAGTAGCATTGTAGCTTCCCCTAATCATGAAGGATTATTTTGCTATTTTTCTTTTTGCAAGTAATCATGTCTTTGTGGCATAGCTGTCAATGGTTGCTGGAGCTCTGTTTTATGCTTATGGTGTTTAGTGCTGTCATCGGACCAGTAAGGAATTCTTTTTTCACCATTTATTTCACATCAAACCTGACCTGTTGAATTTTGTTTGGCTGAATGAGTCATAGTGGCTAATTGTTAATGTACCAATGAGCTTTACTTGTGGTTTTTTAAACTAAGATGAGTTGGCATAAACGACATAGCCCATTTGTAAATCACCAACGATCATAAAATATGGTTTATTACAAATATCCTCAGTATTAGACAGGATGGCTATATTCCTTATTTCTGCAAAATTGAAAAGACGCATCATATTATTTTGCTGATGAACAATCTGCAGGAATGGAAATGACTTTGACCAGTGCTATTTGGTAGAGATGTTTAAGCTGGTTTTGACGGAAATATGAGCTAATCTTATCGAATAAATCTTTGAACGGTTAAATTCTACTTTCATGTTAAATATTTTTTTATTTTTTATTTATTTTTTAGATTTAATAGGATTAGTAAATTTCACTCTAGGAAAATCCGTCATTACTCATTATGGGCGGCTTTTTCTGGCAGAACTGGTCGAATTTCCGGTGGTAATGAGTTTTCTAGCGGCTTTCCGGCAGGTTTTTATGCCGATATAAACCGTGTAAGAAACTAAAACTGGTGGTTTATTTCCGCCGACAAATACTTTCGAGAAATTAAAAAAAATTATCAAAAAACAAAGCCCCTTTCTGGCGATAATGATGTTTTATGGCAGCATTTCTACGATTTTTTTTTGCCGGTATAAACTGCGTAGGAAACTAAATAAAACTGGTTGTTTATTTCCGCTAACAAATATTTCTGGAGGCCAAAGCCGCCGGAAATAAAAAAAATTAAAAAACAAAGCCGCCCAGCTGCCCGCCATCACTGCTTGCCCGACAGGCTACCCGCACGCTCGCGCTGCCCGCCTGCTGTGGGATTTGAATTAAAGTGAGTATGCTTCGAAGCCCCAAACGATTTGCTGGAAGGGCAAGTGTTAAACGTGTCGCTTTTTTTATTTAAAATGTAATTAGGAAAAGCAGCTAGAAATGATGCTAGATAGCCGCCGGACAACTGCCGAAAAATCATAAAAAATATATATATTCAGGCATATTTTATCGTAAACCAACGGAAGGCCACCGGAAAATAGCAGAAAATAGATTGCCTGTAATGTACTATTTTTATGTAGTGTTCTATCAGGTGACTATCTCTCTCTCTTATGGTGACATATTTGAACCCCGAGGTCTTCTTTAACAAATATACATGCACCTCTCCCAATCCAAACCAGTTGACTCCGCAATAGTAACAGTAATGGAACTCTCTTCTTTTATGCTCGTGGTTTTGCGCCCTCTACTATTTCTCATTGATACTCTCTTCTGTATACTTTTCTCCAAATATTCATTTATATCTTAAATGCTAAAACAAATGACCCAACATTTTTTTTGCTTTCAGACGAATTTAATAAATGGAATGCCAATTAGTTTTTGAGATATCCTAAGACCCTCAGGGCTCAGGCTTTAGAATATCCTTAGTTGGTCATTCCCTTTCTACTCCAACAATTCTTCCTTCTCAACAATTGGTTCCCTTCCCAACTTCTTCTCCAACGGTATCTTGGACTAGTGCTCTTTCTTCCAATCTTAGGTAGCAACCAAAAGTTTTATTTTTTATTTTTGGTTAAAATTTATGGAGGGGCTTACGCTTTAAATCTAAAAAACAGTTATAAGTCCTTTAAAATGATTGAAAGTCACTACTGATCATAGAACTACATCCAAAACGAAAATAAACCAAATAGCTATTAATAAAAACCTAGGGGGCAACACAAAACTACCACCCCAAAAAAAGCCAGGCCTCGAACAACAAAGCAAACCCAGCAGGAACACCAAAAGTGAAAAGCCAAAAGCTACAACACCCAAGCAAAAGAGGGCCTCTGAACATCAGCCAAGCCAAATAAGGATGCTCTAGACCCAAACAACAAAACAAACCTGCAAAAAGGATTTCCTCCAAACAAGAAAACACATTAGGATAGGAAAAAAGGCAAAACAACACCAAACAGAAACAAACACAGCCACAGAACCCCCAGAAAATCAAATAACCAACCATAGAGAATGAATCATAAGCAAGCCAACACATCCCCAAACAGGGCACGACGCAACAACCACAAAAAAAAAGACCCGCTAACACCACCCAAAAAGGCCCCAAACTCCAACAACCCACAAAACACCAACCAGAGCGACCATAGGAGCCAAAGAGAATGTCAGAACAAATAATAAGGACCAGCCCAACTAGGAACAAAGAAAACTAACTACCCAACTAGGAACAAAGAAAACTAACTAGCCCGAATAATCACCCCAAAGGCAGAAGAACCATAAAAGGTCAAAACATTAAAAAGAAGGGTTAGGAGGAGAAGCTTTAGATCTAGAAGAAATACCAACTTAATTCTTGAAGTTATGAACCAACTTTTTCTGTTTAAGTTTCTTTTTTTTAACCTTAAATAGTAGAAAAATCATCATTATCAACTTACACAACATTCAAATCAACATCATTCTACAAATCATGATAATTACCAACGCTAACTTCCCCAAAAACCCTGTTATCACGCAACGAATCAAGAGATCGAGTTCAACCCGTCAGAATTGTCAATTTCCAATAGAAAAAATATTCAAATGCTGCTTCCCCAAACCCAAAGAAAGCAAAACATCATCAAATAAAGGAGAACATGAAATGATAATAACATACACCTTATTTAAAACATTCAAACAACCAAAAACATCCACAGGGTTAAGAAGATTACAATTAACAATATGTCTCTTGTTCCATAATATGATCCCCAATAACATCCACACAAAAAACCAAGTTTAATGAAATACCAA